CTGGTACAGGGGTTTTTTGGGGGGGGGGAGGGGGGCAGGAGTCTCTTGTCAACTATTGGAACAAAAATATCCAAGTTAATATTCTACCATATGCCATTTTCTCCATGCTATAAATTAAATCCGCTCATCTGAGTCCCTGAGATTAAGAACTTGCCTCTTAATATTCAAAGAGCGCTTTGTTCTTAAATACTCTATTTCCATTGTTCGCATTGCACTGTTACATTGCATAAATGTTTTTGTAATTCCCTGATTATATGAAACAGCGAGTCAGGACTGGAAGCACTGCCTTTTTCATATTGTAACAGAATGGAGGGGAAAAAAACTACTGCCACGTTTTATTTATAAGGCCACCCCCACTGTAATAATTCTCATATATATATATGTGTGTGTGTGTGTGTGTTTCTGTTATACCTCGTCGTCAACACATACCGTGTTACAGTCATACATAAAATAATAGAAAAAGATAGCATAGGTATAAAACATAAACATATGATAGTAATAATAACATATCTAAATTATTCCAAGATTATTTAAATTCTCTATATCTTGAATTATACTTCCCTTCCACACTTTCCATGGTTTCCTATCTACAATCCTTTTAACTGCGTTTTCTTACTCTACTAAATTATTTTCATTACCTTACATAATCTCATGCTATAACACCTTCTGCTGAGCATTTTCCCCCAGCCTGTTACGATTATTTCCTTGTTATAATATTTTGCCATATAATCCGTATATAATATCCAATCCTCTTTCAGTCTCTTATCATCTTAATTTCTCAATCTATCTGTCATACGGGCTAGTTCTATGTACAGTGGTACCTCGGGTAAAGTATTTAATTCGTTCCGGAGGTCCGTACTTAACCTGAAACTGTTCTTAACCTGAAGCACCACTTTAGCTAATGGGGCCTCCTGCTGCCACCGCCGCCAGAGCCTGATTTCTGTTCTTATCCTGAAGCAAAGTTCTTAAATTGAAGCACTCTTTCTGGGCTAGCAGAGTGTGTAACCTGAAGCGTATGTAACCTGAAGCGTATGTAACCCGAGGTACCACTGTACTCTGATATTTCTCAATCTATCTGTCATATGGGCTAGTTCTGTGTACTCTAATATTTTGAGATGCCCTTCTTCTCTTGATGGTACTGTAAGAATTCATCAGCCCCTGAAAGTCTCTGGACATCCCTTCCTTTTGGGTTGGGGAGGGGATGAATGGTCCCGCGAAAGCCCAACCAGTGATGGGATAAAGCCCTTAAACCATGGTTTCCCAGACTCAGGTATCTAGCTGTTTTTGGACTACAACTCCCATCATCCCTAGCTAGCAGGACCAGTGGTCAGGGATGATGGGAAGTGCAGTCCAAAAACAGCTGGAGACACAAGTCTGAGAAACCCTGCTTTCAAGGTTTGGATTATTAAGGGGTATATAAATCCTATTAAATAAATGAATTACCGTTCTGTACACAGCTGTATAATTTGGACCTGCCTGAAGCACCTGGGCCATGGGTAAGCAATCTAAGGCCTGGGGGCCGGATCCAGGGAACCAGGCAGAGAGCCTTCTCGGTTGTGGCCCCCTCCCTGTGGAACGCCCTCCCATCAGATGTCAAGGAAAGCAGCTATCTTATTTTTAGAAGACATCTGAAGGCAGCCCTGTTTAGGGAAGTTTTTAATATTTAATGCTGTATTGTTTTTAAACACTCAATTGGGAGCTGCCCAGAGTGGCTGATGTTGGGAAAGATGGAGGGCACAAGGAGAATGGGACGACAGATGGTTGGACAGTGTTCTCGAAGCTACCAGCATGAGTTTGACCAAACTGCGGGAGGCAGTGGAAGACAGGAGGGCCTGGCGTGCTCTGGTCCAGGGGGTCACAAAGAGTCGGACACGACTAAACGACTAAACAACAACAACAACAGCCCCATTGAAGAAGATGGCAGTAGTTACCCAGACCTTGTTGCTGGTTGCAGAGGGGGGCCCCATATCATTTCAAGCTTCAGGGCTCCCAAAATGTAGGTCTGCCACTGATCAGGGCATAAGAAGAGCTGGCTGGATCAGACCAATGACCCATTCAGTCCAGCATCCTGCTCTCACAGTGGCCAAGAAGATGCCCGTGGCAAACCCACAAGCAGGATTTGACCACGAGAGAACTCTCCCCTCCTGTGGTATCCAGCGACTGATTTTTAGAAGCATTGCTAATGCCAGCAATGCCCCTCTGGACCACTGTTCCATGTGGTTGTGTAAGTTGTCTCCAAGGGAGGAAAATGGCGGCCTCTTTGGATTCTCCCTGGATTCGTCTGCTCCACAGTAGGTTGCCCTAGAAAGAAAGAAAGAAAGAAAGAAAGAAAGAAAGAAAGAGAAAGAATACAATTATCACAATCGGTTTTTGTAATTTTCCACACCAGTTCTTTCTCCTTTGTGTTATTAGCACCAAGCAAGGAGGCAACAAAAGCCGCCGATTCAATATGCACCGCATTGGAAAACAATGGGAAAGATGGGCTTTTAATAAGCACTCGGCGGAGCTGTAATTAAATCTCAGGTTGTGTTTGGAAAACAAGAATCTCATTTAGCGCACTTGCCCGGCATGCCTTCAGCATCGGCACCATGTTTTCTTCTGGGCAATTATGCCAGCTTTCTGTGAATTGATTAACAGATACGGGTGTGGAGGGGGGCAAGGTGCCTGGAGGAGGGCAGGTGCACAAGGCCACCCCAGGGGTGCAAAAGTTGGCTTCCGTAAGGGCACCTCCTTTGTAGGGTGGGAGAAAATTCCCTCTGGGGGTTCAGTACAGAGGTTCACACAAAGTTCCCAGTTAGTCAGGCTTCATTCAGTAATGCGTTGCAGGACAGAGTTCAGAAAGTCTGCGAGAACTTTCCATGTAGACAAAGCTATATAGGAAAAGAATACTTCATCTTGGCAGTTTCATCTTCTCCTCAAACACCTTCTGCCAACCCATCACCACACCATCTCTCATCAAACCACATTCATTGGAAACACTTACCCAACCCATATTTTTTTTTACTGTACATGCAGAACCCTCCTTGTACCTTATCTGAAGTTGTTGTTTAATTGTTGTTGTTTAGTCGTTTAGTCGTGTCCGACTCTTCATGACCCCATGGACCAGAGCACGCCAGGCGCTCCTGTCTTCCACTGCCTCCCGCAGTTTGGTCAAACTCATGCTGGTAGCTTCGAGAACACTGTCCAGCCATCTCATCCTCTGTCGTCCCCTTCTCTTTGTGCCCGCCATCTTTCCCAACATCAGGGTCTTTTCCGGGAGTCTTCTCTTCTCATGAGGTGGCCAAAGTATTGGAGCCTCAGCTTCAGGATCTGTCCTTCCAGTGAGCACTGAGGGCTGATTTCCTTCAGAATGGAGAGGTTTGATCTTCTTGCAGTCCATGGGACTCTCAAGAGTCTCTTCCAGCAACATAATCCAAAAGCAACCATTCTTCAGCGATCAGCCTTCTTTATGGTCCAGCTCTCACTTCCATACATCACTACTGGGAAAACCATAGCTTTAACTATACGGACCTTTGTTGTTTAATAGTCAGTGTGAAATTTCTCCTTAACTTATATAAACCCATACTGTTGTTTTGATTGTAATTGTTTTAACTGTTGCTAATATTTTATTTATAAACTGTCATAACCTGCCTTAGAACCGCATGATGAAGGACAGGTGAGAAATCTTAATATTATTATTAATAATAATAATAATAATAATAATGGACCATGTAGCACCTGTGGTCTGTGGCTTATCAGCGCCCTCGCAGCACACTTGCCACATTCTATGGAACACAAATAGTTACACAATAAAATACACTAGATGAGAGATAAAAAGAAGTACTGGTAATTGAAATACAATTTAGACAGCATCTAACACGGTGCATTGTGATTGCTGTTGATGGATTGATTTACTTATATGCCCCCTTTCCACAATGAGTTAGAACAGGCAGGAAAATCATTAAGCGGTTCTCTGAGACCCTCGACAATTTCCAAGTGGTCCATGAGAGGTGCGGAAAGTCTGGGAACTGCTGACATACAAATAGTCGTTAATGGTAGCGATTAAAAACAGACATCAAACACGGGAGAAAAATAATACAATTCTCAAAATATAGATCAGCGGTTTAGAAAGGAGATATACTGAATCCATTCAATGCTCTCTTTTATCCCCATCTTCCATGTTCCGACCATGGAATGATTGAGTGTCTGTGCTGAACTTTCCTCTTCTCTTTCGCTTCTCCCACTGCAATACTGCCTTCCCAGGATGGGGGACCCTTTCATCCAGTCGTAAGCACTGCTTCTTGCAGCAAGTTCTGCACTATTAAGTTCCTTGAGGGGCCTTCGATGCAATATGCCACGAGAACAAACACTCCAGAATCAAAGGTTGAGACAAATATTTGAGATGCTTCATAGACTTTTTTTGTTTGTTCCTTTCCCCTGAGCGGTTCCAAAGACCTTTGCAAGGCTGCTGCGGAAAAATCTGTTTATTTACAAATATGTAAACCCAGAAGGGTTTCTTGAGAGTCCCATGGACTGCAAGAAGACCAAACCTATCCATTCTGAAGGAAATCAGCCCTCAGTGCTCACTGGAAGGACAGATCCTGAAGCTGAGGCTCCAAGACTTTGGCCACCTCATGAGAAGACAAGACTCCCTGGAAAAGACCCTGATGTTGGGAAAGATGGAGGGCATAAGGAGAAGGGGACGACAGAGGACGAGATGGTTGGACAGTGTTCTTGAAGCTAGCAGCATGAGTTTGACCAAACTGCGGGAGACAGTGGAAGACAGGAGTGCCTGGCGTGCTCTGGTCCATGGGGTCACGAAGAGTCGGACGCAACTAAACAACAACAAACCCGGAAGAAGCCCAGCCCATGCAGGGAGCCCCAGTGTCCTGTTTTACAGAGGACACTCCTCTACCTGGCTGTCTGGTCCAACTCTGGCTTAAAGATCCAGAACAATCAACAGTTACCATCTGGCCACAGTTGTCCCCATATTGTATTTTCACTGTAGCGGTAGCAGCTGTATCCATCTGGGATAGCTCAGTTGGTAGAGCATTAATCACAGGGTTGTGGGTTCAAGCCCCACGTTGGGCAAAAGGTTCCTGCATTGTAGGGGGTTGGACTAGATGGCTTCAAGGGTTCCCTTCCAACTCCACAATTCTATGATTTCTGAAGCTGCATCTGTATGTATATTTTAGCATCCACAAATGTTGTGCAAGTCTGTGCCCACTTTTTGGATGACGCCCAAGCAGCCAGTCTAAACACAAAGTGGAATCAGTTCAGGCTCTGGTGGTCAAGATTCTCAGACTGCATTGGATTCCTCAGGGCAATCTTAGTTACACACACACACACACACACACACACACACACACACAGCACTGGCTTTCCCCCTGTTGCAGAATTTCAATTATCTGCTCATGGAATCTGAATTTACTGCAGAATAGAAGCAGTCTTAAATTTTGTTCAATGAATAAAGACTACATAGGAATGTGATTTTAGCCGGCACAAACCTTTATAAATTACTGATTATTTTTTTTAAATGGAGCTTGTTTTTAACATTTGTTTGTTTCATTGATATTTTAAGCGAACACTCTGGATGGTTTTGCGAACTGCTTAGGGGTCTTTCGTTCTAGAAAGCGGTATATAAATTTTGCTCAGTAAAGTAACAATAAATAATCGTGACTGTTGGTCAGCAGGTCATAGAGGGGCATGGTGGGGGACACACACATACATATTTGATCCTTAAGAATTGCACTGTCCAGCCTTGCCCCCCCCCTTTAGGAAATGCCGCTCCTGGAAGCTGGATCTTCTCTTAAGGTTGTTCGGATGTCATTGTTCAGCAGCAATGACCTACTTTTGTTTTATCAGGCTCCTTTCTGTTTGCGTTGGATTATTGGTGCTAGAAGATACTGCTAAGTGAGTTGTGTTTCTGGAATATAAATGAGCTGCGATCCCCGGTCCCTCTTCCTGGGCTGAGTGCAAGAGCAGAGTCTTTGCTCATCATCCATGGGCAGTCGACAGGGAGAGCGGAAAAGGCAGATCTTGCTGCTTTCTTTGAGGCTAACCAAACAATTAAACCCCTGTGTTGCAAACAATATATCAGTAATATCCAAGGAAACACAATGACCAAGTACAACGATATGATGTCAATATAAACTCTTTATATAATCTATACAGAACACTGAACAGTATGAAATATATGAAATGCACTCTCTGCAAAACCAAATAAACAGAAATCTTATACAGTGGTACCTCGGGTTACATATGCTTCAGGTTACATATGTGTAATAAATGTAGGGGTTACTCGTGCGCAAGTTGGTGCCACTCCTGGCTAGTTTGCCTTGTTAAACCTTTTCTGTCTGGACAGCCCTACACTTTGTGGCTGCTCAGTCACTAGCAGAATCCGTCAGTGGGCGTTTCTTAAACCTTTTCCAGCATAAAAGTTGTTTGACTCCAAGTCTCCTCCTACTCTCCCTGCGCGGAAGTCTTCTGCGCAGGGAGGGAATGGGTAGCGGAAGACCCGTGCTCTCCTCGCTGATCTCCGGTGAGGAGTCCTGGAGCCCCCTCGCCGATTCCCCCATCTGCCCCCTTTTATCCCTGGTGTTACGGTGATTTCCTTCCCCTGCTGGTGAGCCGCCTCTCCCCCTGCTGGGCCCTTCTCCAGCATCGCTTGAGAGCCTCGCCTCCGCCTCTGGCTCCGATGTCAGTTCCCTCACAATATGCTTCAGGTTACAGACTCCGCTAACCCAGAAATAGTACCTCGGGTAAAGAACTTTGCTTAAGGATTAGAACAGAAATCGTGCTCTGACGGCATGGCAGCAGCAGGAGGCCCCATTAGCTAAAGTGGTGCTTCAGGCTAAGAACAGTTTCAGGTTAAGAACGGACCTCCAGAATGGATTAAGTTCTTAACCCGAGGTACCACTGTAAATCTCTGAAAGTCACAAAATATGCACTCTTGATGGATTCTCTTGAGAATATAGAACCAAATGAGAGTCTTATAAGTCTTTGAAAGTCTTTGTAGACTATGCAAGTCTCTGAAACAAGCAATGGGTCAGATTCTTATCTGGTGAAAACAAGCTGTAAAGCTCTGTTCTATGACATCCAATGCTGCCGAAGTAGTCCGCAAACAGACGTAGTGAACAGTGATTCCTGATATACCCACTGTTTCGTGGAATTCTTCTTCAGCACAGCAGAAGGATACAGAAATGCTTCATAAACCCATCTAAACGGTGAATGGAATTGTATAACAACAATTGCTATGGAGTAGTGGTCATAAAGTTATTTCTTTGTATTTCTTTGAGGGAGCAGCTGCTGCAAATTGACACGGAGGGAGTCACCCATCCAGACCTTCCCACTGCAGATTGATAGGATCTGCAGATCTGAGAGAGCCCTTCTACAATGCAGATGAGAAGAAGGTGTTAAAAAGTGGTGGCAGGATAATTTAATTTTTGGGTGGGGAGTAGAAGGCTTTCTTCTGAAATGTCCCCAACCTGCAAAGAGAAACAAATGCATTGTGCGTAGCAAACTTGGGCTACATACACACTAAGACACATTTGAAGCACATTTTCCCCCTCAGAGAATTCTGGGTACTGTAGGTTACCTTGCACAGAGTTACAGTCAAACCTTGGAACTCGAACGGATCCATTCTTGAACTTTTAGGCACCCGAACGCCGAAAACCCAGAAGTAAGTGCTCTGGTTTTCGAACGTTCCTCAGAAGGCAAACAGCTTCCAAGGTGTGTTTTTTGTTTTCCCCCATTGAATTTGCAGCCAGCCCATTGATCCTCAGTTTTCTAATGTTTCAGAAGCCAAACAGTCTTCCGGAATGGATTACGTTCGGAAACAGGTTCCACTGTACGTACAATTCCCTGCAACGCTTAACAAACTATAGTGCCCAGAATTCTTTAAGGGGGAAATGTTTCTTTAAAGTTATAACCCTTTTGGGACCAGTGGGCACATATCGGATTTTGTGAGAGTGCTGGGGGTGGTATTTGAAGTGTTGTTGTTGTTTAGTCATTTAGCTGTGTCCGACTCTTCGTGACCCCCTGGACCAGCACGCCAGGCACTCCTGTCTTCCACTGCCTCCCGCAGTTTGGTCAAACTCATGCTGGTAGCTTCAAGAACACTGTTCAACCATCTCATCCACTTCTCCTTGTGCCCTCCATCTTTCCCAACTTCAGGGTCTTTTCCAGGGAGTCTTCCCTTCTCATGAGGTGGCCAAAGTCTTGGAGCCTCAGCTTCAGGATCTGTCCTTCCAGTGAGCACTCAGGGCTGATTTCCTTCAGAATGGATAGGTTTGATCTTCTTGCAGTCCATGGGACTCTCAAGAGTCTCCTCCAGCACCATAATTCAAAAGCATCAATTCTTCAGCAATCAGCCTTCTTTATCAGCTCTCACTTCCATACATCACTGCTGGGAAAACCATAGGTTTAACTATATGGACCTTTGTCAGCAAGGTGATGGTGGTGTTAGTTATCATTAATAATCAAGCAGGGGTAATATTTTACTTACGTATTGCCAGTGCTGTTTTTCTAGAGAAATGGGTGCCGGAACTCAGCATGAACACCTCCCTGGTTCTCTTACAATGGCAATGAGAGGTGCTGGAACTGAGAACCACTGCTCTAGGTCTTGTCCTGGGCCCAGTTGCCCTGAGACCCAGCCTTCTCCTGGGACCTGCAGACAGGAAACTGAGGGGAGTCAAGATGTCTGGGAACTCAGAGGCTGGCTGGCTGCTCTCTTTCCTCCGGAGACTATTCAGCACCCATTTCCCGAAGAAACAGCTATCCATAAAACTCTGACACCGCCACCTTTAATTTCATTTCATTCCCCGCTAAGCTTCTTTATCTCCCTCTCTCCGAAATGTGGTGGCTCAGGTCAACTTTTACTGGTAGCAATTTAGGGGAGATGCACTCCAGCTAATCCTGCGCTTAACAAGGGAGATGAATACACCCCGTGGAGGATTTTCAGCCTGTCTTCCCAACTAATGTATGCCTTTCCGTCAAGCTGGGGAGATCAGGTTTTCCCCTCTGTGGCTGCTCAGAGGTCTTTCCCTCCCCATAATTGCCCTGTCCAGAAAAGCAACATGACATTGTAAGGAATAATCTTTCCTCCTCCTCCTCCTCCTCCTCCTCCTCCTCCTCCTCCACCTTCTTCACATTCAAATCAACCTAGTCATCTCAGGTTTTGATTCCACAGGTGGAGGCAGGGAGGCTGGTGCTTTCCATTTGCCCTCCACATTGGAAACGGGATCATTACAAAGTTGTTCAAGCAGTTGCGGAGAATAACCAGGCTAGATCTGACATGGGTTGGTGGCTATTGGCACTGGTAGGGCGGAACATGGGGAGATGAGCAGCAGGTGGCGCTAGAGCAAATGCCAGAGAGAAGTAGAATAGGCTGTGTCACATCCTAAGTGCATTTGGTGGCAATTGTGTTTTGAAATACTCCCCAGTATAATGAACCACTTTTGGAAGAAGTACTGTGGTTGGCCAGGAGTCTCTCTTATTTTGTGTGTGTGCTATTTTACACTTCATTGTTCATTTCTACATGATTAGGATTTGTTGTCCAACAACAATAATAAAAAAGAATGCTATTCTAGGCTGCATCAACAGAAGTATAGTGTTCAGATCAAGGGAAGTCGTAGTACTGCTCTATTCTGCCTTGGTCAGACCACAACTAGAATACTGTGTCCAATTCTGGACACCACAGTTTAAGAAGGATGTTGACAAGCTGGAATATGTACAGAGGAGGGTGACCATGATGAGTCTGGAAACTGAGACTTATGAGGAATGGTTGAAGGAGCTGGGTATGTTTAGCCTGGATGTCATGGTCCGGTCTACGGGTGATCAAAGTCCCAGCTGAGAACGTCGGGACTGGGGGCAAGATGGCGGGGTGGGAGCAGGAAAGAGAGTCCAGAAGCCAGGAGTCTGAGGGTCAGGAAGCAGAGAATCACAAAGTCAAGGGTCGAGAAGCAAGGAGTCACAAAGTCAACGGTCCGAGGGTCGAGAAGCAAGGAGTCAAGGAACTGAGGATCAGGAAGCAAGAAGCCAAAATGCAGCAAGGCAGGGAATGAATTGCTGTGGCAAAGAGCCAAAGGGAA